GGGGGGGCGCCAAAGATCGAAGGGGGGGAGCCAGGCCTCAGATGATTTGAGACCAAATATCATATTTTGACTTTTTTTTTAATTTTTATTATTATTATTTTTTTACATATAATGGTAAAGCAATACATGATTGTCACTAAAAGCCTTGTCTCTACATTACAATAAAAAAACAAAAAAAATCATTAATTCATTTGAATACAAATTCAAGTTAGTAGCTATTAAAGGCATAAAAAGACAGAAATGTATAATTCTTTCTTTAATAGAAATGTTTCTTCTGCCCGTAAATTGCCCAAACCAGGCTTGTCTGAATAAGCGCATTTTTAAAACATAGTCGTTGTCCATGCCGGTTTCAGTTGGATTATTTGTCACAGTTGCTCCGATCAGATCGGTCTCCTCCATTTTGTAGATTATTTACGACTTTTTAATCCACATAAACACATCGGCAAAATCCGGCTTACTTTGAGCATGTGTTTTAAACAGTTTAATCCCTTTGTGAATTGTTTCCACTTCTGCGGCGTCCTTTAAATGAATGAATCCTGAGTCCAATAACCATCAAAGTCACTCCAATAGAGCTCCTTAATTACGCTTTCATCCTCCTTTAACAACATACTTCACATTCATCCAGTTTGTGACAGTAGTTGTAGCATTTTTGAGACTTTTAAACTTTAATTACAGCAGTTGTTGATTGTCTTATTGTGTTCACCTGTTTCCCTTGTGTTTCTCCTCCCCTGCCCGGCTGTTTCTCGTCTTGTGATTACCCCTCTCTGTATTTAGTCTTGTCTCTTCCTGTGTTCGGTGTCGGTTCATTGTTAGTCTTTCCCTTCATGTCACGCTCCATGTTTGTCCTTGAAGTTTTGGTCCTGGATTATTTACTCGTGCTCCCCTGTTTTTGGGTAATGCTAACTTTGTCTCTTGTTTTCTTTTGTCATCGGCTTTTTTTTGTTAATTAAAGCTCGCTTTTTGTTAATACTGCTTTTGGGTCCTACCTTTTCCACGCACCCTGACAAAAACAATGCCTTGATTGAATTGTTTTGCAATTCCCTTTGTATATTGTAATTGTCCCTATGAAAATAAACATGAAATTAAATGAGTTAAGCAAAACCAAGTCATGGTCGGCTCTGCCAAGGTTTGCTGCTCTTAAAATGTTTAAGATAGAATGGTTCAAATCCCTTAAAGCAGCAGAACCAAAATAATCCTAATGATAATTATGTTTTTGTTTGCCACTTGCTTGGAAACATTTATCTTAGAAACATTGATAATAAGCTCCAAGTCCTGCAATATAATTCATTTTTAGTATAAGTATAAAAGGAGAGGGAGGGGTCATCGGGCAATAAAAGGTCAGATAAATAACTTTGAGTCAGGCCTCTCAGGGCTTTAAAAGTCAGCAAGTCAATTCCAAAAGCAACATCTAGCCAGTATAGGGAAGCAAGGAGATGTGTGATGTGATCATATTTCCTAGCATGAGTTAAGATTCTAGCAGCAAAGTTTTGGATTAGCTGGAGGAGGTAGAGAAACTTGACAAAAATGACACCAAGGCTTCTGCTTTGCTTTGCTTGAGTTATGGACTGGGACAGAGAACCAATACTTTTTGAAATTTGGTTGATGGCAGTATCAACTTGACCTATGATCATTACTTCTGTTTTATCAGAGTTTAGCTGCAGGGTATTGTGTGACACTCATTTGCAGATATGTATGTGATAGAATAGATCTCAATAATATATTTTACTAATTATAATAGCATTTCGTCATATTGTGCATTCTCTTTACTCTGGCAGGTTTCCTTTCCTTCCTGATAGACGGCTCACTGGTGCTCACTTGGCTTCCCCGGGCAGGTAGGCAGCAACAGCCTCACTTATGGGACCTTTTCCATATTAGTTGTATGTCATCACTGAGTAAATTGTATATCCTATGGATGTAACAAGCAGAGAAAGCGCAGGTGTGATTAATAATAAAACACGGATCCCAGAATTGTTTAGGTTGGGTCATTGCTTGGTAGTCAATTAATGAAACATAGCCAGTATATAAAGATAACTGTTCCTGAAATCCCCTCCTTTAAAAATAACATTACATTCCATATATTTCATTCATTTACAAAAATAATTAAAAACAAGCTTTATCTTTTGTGCTTTACATGCAGAGTCAAAGAAACTATTACAAAAAATATGAAAGCGAAGATAAAATGTATGATAATATTGAACTAATGAAAATAATGATATCCATTCTCAACAAACATGCAAATATAATTACAAATATATTATTACATTTCAAATGATGAAGTTTGCATTATGAAGAAGGTTTAAGGACCTCAGGTAGAAAACTAACGTTCTTTGCCAGATTTTAAATTGAGCCTCAGTACTGCAAGTTTATACCATTTACATTATATCAGAGGTCTAAATGACTGACAGATTTGAAACATAAATGTTATTATAGGCATTTTTGTTTGGCATATTCTGAAAGACAGTTTAAAAAGACAATAAATTAAGTTGAGCTGTAATTTCTCATCTCTTTTCTGAGCAACAAAGCTATCATCTTAGATTATGACTTCAAAATGATGCCTTCTCCAGTTCTGGATATTCTCCACGATTGCATAAACATTGCGGTTTCAAAAAATAGGTCCAGGTTGGGATTTCAGAATCTGTATCAGAAACAGCAATCTTTTATTAGTCCCACATCAGGGAAATATATATTTGTTACAGCAAAAGTGGCATAGCAAATCAAAAGTGACTTTCATTAAAGTTTAAAGGATTTGAATGTTCCAAAACCAATTTAAATTTTGGAACAGTGGCAATTCTTTCAGTGATTGTTTTCATGTTTGCTTTGATATTTTTTATCAAAATAAATGTTCCCATTGTAATATAGGATAATGCTTATATCTAGCTATCTAATTATTATTTGAATATTGAACAGATACATTTTACAAAGGTATAAAAAGGAAAACCATTTTTGCTTTTTTTTTCTGTATAAATATATAAACGTCAAGGCCACCTGTGCCCGTATTAGAACCTGTGCCCGTTTTAGATTTCATGATGCACTAGTAGCAATAGGGAACACAATAGTAGAACAGAATAGTGCTGCAGCTGAGTACTACATTCTTATCATTTTCTTTTGCAGATGTGGATCTGAGAGCACTTTATTCACTTGAAGAACAGAAGAGACACTATTGTGCAAAGACTACAAGTCTGAAAGGTTTTCTGATTAGAGCTGGCCTGGTCCAGGTATCATCTGATTTGAAATTAATTACTTCAAAAACAAAAAAGATGTCCGGATTGTTAAGCCGATTTGTTGATGCTATAACAGTAAAAAGCAAAGTGTTAACATCTGAGACAGGGCCTTTAACTGTTAACAAAATTAAATTGGATGAAGATGGGTGCAGACGATTCAGTTTTGGGAAAATGTCCCAAACTGTTAAAACTAACCGCACCATAATGGTTCTCGGAGCAACTGGGGCTGGGAAGACAACTCTCATCAATGGGATGATCAACTACATTCTAGGTGTTGAATGGAAGGATGCATATCGGTATAAGTTAGTTGATGAGGGTCAGTCGAAATCTCAAGCTGAAAGCCAGACCTCTGAAGTCACTGTGTACCAAATCAACCATCAGGAGGGCTTTAAAATCCCTTTCTCTCTGACCATTGTTGATACTCCAGGCTTTGGAGATACAAGAGGAATACATAGAGACAAGGAGATCACAGAACAGATTCGTAATCTCTTCTCTTCAGAGCGTGGCGTCAGTGAAATTGACGCTGTGTGTTTTGTAGCTCAGGCTTCTTTAGCTCGGCTCACACCATCACAGAAGTATGTGTTTGATTCTGTGCTCTCAATCTTTGGCAAAGATGTGGCAGAAAACCTCCAGGTTCTGGTGACATTCGCAGACGGCCAACGCCCACCAGTTCTAGAGGCGATCAAAGCTTCAGGCGTCCCATGTCCTAAAACAGAAGACGGGCTGCCAGTTCACTTCAAATTCAATAATTCTGCCTTGTTTGCACAGAACCAATCATCTGCTGCTGCTGACTCGAGTGGAGAGGAGGAAGATGGAGGCTTTGATCAGATGTTCTGGAAAATGGGGACCAAAAGCATGAAGAGGTTCTTTGTTGCTTTAAATAAGATAACAACAAAAAGCTTGACATTGACAAAGGAAGTCCTCAGAGAAAGAAAGCAGCTCGAGATCTCAATTGAAAGTTTGCAAACACAGTATAAAGTTGGGTTAGCCAAGATTGAGGAGATAAATCAGACCACTGCCATTGTTAAAGATCACGAGGCAGAGATTAACAGAAATGAGAACTTTGAGTTTGAAGTAATAGTTAAAAAGCCTTTTCAAGAAGATATTTCTCGTGCTGGAATTTTCATCACAAACTGTCAGCTGTGTCATTTCACCTGTCACAAGGTATGTGGAATTCCTAATGATGCAGATAAAAATGGCTGTATAGCAATCGGACATGATGGAAACTGTACTGTGTGTCCAGGTAAATGTCATTGGACAAACCATTTTAACCAGAAGTACAGATGGGAGTATAAGGATGTTAAAGTAAAGCAAACAGTGCAGGAGCTGAAAGAAAAGTTCCTGAAGGCCTCAGAGGCTAAGGGAACTGTTCAGGAATTGATCGACCAGCTCGAGGTTGAATATCAGCGTCTTCAGGCTGATGTGAGGGAGATAATGGAGAGGGCTGCCAAGTGTCTGAACAGACTAGGAGAGATCGCACTGAAGCCAAATCCTCTCTCCACTCCAGAGTACATTGACCTGCTGATTGAGGGAGAGAAATCTGAGGCCAAGTCAGGCTGGAAGCAACGAGTCCAGTACCTGATGGAGATGAGAGGAAAAGCAGAGCTCATGGGTAAAGTAAGCAGAGGAGAAAAAATACTAACAAGACAAGAATCTCAAGCTCAAGGAGAATCAAGATCAGTGCCAACCTAGACCAAGACAAAGAGCTGAAAACAATAAGACTAAGAAGAGACTCAAGACATGATACTGACCCAGACATTTGAATGACTATAGATAACCAAGTGTTGGGACCAAAAGAGGACCATGTCGTTTTTTCTGTGCTTACACGTCGTGTTTTAACTGTATTTTTCTAAATCACCATGGTTTCAATTTTGGAAAAGATGTTTTATGAATGTTGATGAATCTAAAAAGCAATCCTTGAAAGAAATGCTGAATAAGAGATTGACCTGAGTTATAGAAGCCAGAGGAACAGAAGAGTCAGGATATTTTGTGTTTACGAACGACATGTGTGATTTTGTTGTTGATTTTTTATGCTGTGTTGTAACGCCAAAGTAATGTTGTTCAAGCCATGTCAATAAGGAGGCGTGTGGCGCAGTGGATAGAGTGTTTGGACCAGGGGGTCACAGGTTCAAACCCCACTGCAGTCAGCATGTCGTTGTGTCCCTGAGACACTTCAGCCCAAAGTGCTCCTGTGGGGATTGTCCACAGTATTGAGTATGTAAGTCTCTTTGGATAAAAGCATCTAACAAGGGACATGTGATGCAATGTAATGTAATAAAATGGAAAGAGTTTGAAGCCTAATCTTTCCTCCAATCCAGAGTCCTTTGACATTCTTGTTGAATGAGGGAAGCCCGACACTTGAGAGACTTGAAATTCAATACGTTTGCCAAAGTTTATGTTATATGTTTAAACAATTGTATTTCTGCAGAAGTTATTTGCTATTTTTGTCAGGTTAACCAAACAGGAGATAACAGATTAACCATGTTTGTGGGAACACATTGCATGTACAGTTCATGTACAGTTTTTTTTTTTCCTGTTAGGATCATTTACATATTTCATGTATGCAGTTTACATTGTTCAATACATTACATTTAGCTAACGATTTTATCCAAAGCGACTTACCATACAATGTAAAAACAATATGTGTTGCTTATTGATTTTTATCTTCTCTTCAGGTATATATATATTTTTAAATATACTTATGTGAACATTTGTAAACAATTATATTGATGTTTATTGAATTGTATGTTATTGTCTTGTAGTAATTAAGGGAGAGATGAAGAAATTATGAAATGATTAAAAAATATATTGTGTCTTCCTTAAGAGTTGTGTGTTTTTGTATCATTAGTCTTCTACAGCTAACTTTCACTGCTGGCATCAACTTCAATATGATCTTTATTTTCTCAAATAGTCCCTCTTTTGACTAGACTAGACTTTATGCATCACGATTTCAAAAAACGAATTTAATGACTGAGTATACAGTAGACCCAATATATATAGCTAGTGGGGCTGGTTAACCTGGTTGACATATTTAATGTATATTACATATTATATTCAATATAACAAATGCATAAAAATAATGGTGTAAACAACTGAAGGAGAATAGATAACAATATTACGAGAACGAAAACATAATATAATGGAACAAAATATCTAAATGTATGTTGCCCGATGTGTGTACATACACAGGAAATTTCAATACACACAAATTCCCATTTTGTTTCCCACATGAATTCTTTATTTTGTTAGCAACATTTCTGGGATTTACCAATGTCTTCTTATTTTGGCTTACCTCTCTTACCTAGGTCAGATCACTTTTTATGAGTGGTAGAGCACTGTCGCAAATGTTTTGTTTTTAAAGTCCAAACGTTCTTGCTTAACAGAGAAACCTTTACAGAACATTACAAAAAATATTGAATATCATATATTCACATTTATATTATTAAATGTTTAAAGAGTATGCACATTAATGTCATTTAGGCCATAAGAAAACCTGAATGGCCTACACATAGCTCTGAGATGCTTTTTTTATTTTCCTGTAACATCGATACTGACGCTTTGGAAAATCACATGCTCACTTTAATAAATACCTCTATTTCACTATTGCTGAACTTCTTGATACTGACTTGCAGGTGGCCTTTACTAATAATTAACAATTTGTGATAAAGTGGATTTATCATTCAACACAGTTGGCTACAGGCAGATGTAGATGGTTAGGAATGTTTGGTGCATTTGGAGTCGACTTCTTCGCACTATAATAATTATTATAGTAATAATAATAATTATTATAGTAATAATAATTATTATTATTTCTCTGGAAAATTAAGAGCAACTCATTTTATTTGACAGAAAGTAGCTGCCTGACACCAACTATACATACACAGAAATATACTTACAGCTAAAAACACAAGGACAACAAAAATGAGCAAGGTAAACATGTAACCAAGTCAGGGGTCTTCTGTTTACTCAATGTTAAAAAGGGGGTGTTCAAGAAACAGTTTGGGAGTGCATTAAAAGACTTATCTGAGTATAAACTCTGTCCACAGGGTGGCAGCACAACCTTTGCTATAATGATATTTAAAAAAGCCTCCATCAAGAAGGTGGTGGACAGTCAAACTATACATTAAGAAAGCCTTTTGTCATGTTTGGGAATATACCTTTTCACAAGATTACAAACAAATCAAAGCTATTTTACAACGAAAACATTTTTTTTTAAACACATAGTCTCGAATTTTGTGAATTGCAATGGTGCAGCTGATGCTTTTGGAATAAATATTTAAATGTTTTGAATGTAATGCCTAAATGTGAAAATATGATAAAATATACAACTTATTTAGAGTATTGACATTTTTTAACTTTGGGAACATAAAATGTGGAATGTCTGAATTTAGAATTCTCCACTTTCAAGTTATTAGTCAGGAATGTAAACTTTAGAAATGTCAGAAGAAGTCTCTATTTAAATCATTTCAACCATTCTTTGCTTTGGATGTAAGTCTTTGAATTCCAACAGTGTTGTACTTACCAATGTTAACAGATGCAGAAACCTCTTTCCCTCCTTGTGATGTGTTTTTGAATCTGCTGCTGTCTGAGACAGGAAATAAACTTTGAAACCAGTCTCTTCCAGGAGTGTGCAGACTTCACTGACCTGACTGCTGTGTTGATCAAAGAAAAGGGAAACCTGTTTGTTAAATATTATAAATTGCAATGTTTGCTTTGCAATATCCTCTCTATTCTGTATGAATTTGAATGTGCTCATATTAAAATGAATACTTAAAGGAGCTGAATGATTCCTCTCAATTTCAAAGCCCATCACTGAGGTTGATCCAAACTTACCAGAGTTATTGTTCAGTTCAGACTGCAGCTGGGGAAGATGGATGAGTTAGTCTTTTTATATATTGTATAGCAACATTACTTAATTTCATAATTTTAAATATGCAAAAATAATCTATTTGTAATTTCCCGTATTATATTACACTAACATTTCAAGCAACAAGAGACAAGTAAATGGAGCCTGCTTAGTGAGGATACCACTGATGTGAAAAACAACATTTGATGACACACTACTTTACTTTTCCATGGTGGCCTTTTGAATGTTATTGATACAGCCCATTAAAGTACATCTTCCAGTGTAAACTTCATGTGCTTTCTTTGACCAGCTACAACTATTTCACTTTATTTTTGTTTCAATAACTAGATTTCAAAGCAGAAAGTCCTCACTTTAATTAATTTTCAATTAAAAATATCGTTGGATTTACCAGCTAATATTTGTGAGCAAATGCTTAAGTGGAATATACATTTATATTTTTGCACAAATTAAAACCTTATTTTAAGACACTATCACCTCAAAGAACCATAGCCGATATACAGTAGGTGTATTACACAGTCCGTGTCAATATAGTAGTCTTCTAATTACAGAATACCTTTTTTAATATATAATTGTGATAAAATACTTACCGTGAGGCTATTTACCACTGAAAATATGTAGAATCAAATAAAGCAAATTCCAAATAGGCTGTGTCAGTGTTGGCTTAGATCGCAAGATTTCACCATTCACGATAAATCGTCATGATACGGGCAAACGGGCTCGGGACACCGTAAACAACACTTAAAGCTACACGAATATACACAATTACACAAACATTGAAATTGGTTGATAAAAATCGCTTCACTGCACTTTTTCTGTCCATTAATAATAACTATCCGACTATTTCCACACATATGTTCACTAGAGATACATGTTATCAATCATGTATCTGACATTTTGATCACCTAACACACTGCTGCTAGCTAAGTCAATAATATGCATGCACAGATGCAAACACAACTCACATTAACCTTAATGTGAACTATATAAGCTAGCAGTGAAAAGTAATCAAGTACTGAACTTACTTCAAATGTGCAAGTACTTAACTTGAGTATTTTTAACACTAAGTAAATACAAAATAATGTAGTACTTATTCTAGCTTTATAGCTTTAAATGAGATTCAGTGTGAGCTACTTGAGTAAACAGACTGGGTCAATATAGTAGTCTAAGTAGTAATTACAGAGTAACTTATTTTTGTATATATTGTGATATAATACTTACCGTTAGGCTACTTACCGCTAAAAATATGTAGAATCAAATAAAGAAAATGCCGAAATTACAAATAGGCTGTGACAGTGTACGCCTCGATGGTCAATTTCACCATTCTCGATAAGTTGACACGATACGGTAAACAATACTTAAAGCTGCACAAATATACACAATGACACAAACATTGAAAGGTAATGATATAAATTGCTTCACTGCACTTTTTCTCTCCATTAATGATAACTATCTGTTTATTTCCACACATATGTTCACTAGAGGTAGGTTTTATCAATCATTTATCTGACATTTTGATAACCTCACACACTGCTGCTAGCTAAGTCAATAATATGCATGCACAGCTAGCTCGAGATGCAAACACAACTCACATTAACCGTAACTGATGTGAATTGTATGAGCTATAAGACTATTGAACGTGTACATTTGCAAGTATGTTTACACTAATTAAAGTTAAATATTAGTGTTCTTCTTCCAGCTCTTTTTTTATTGTTAGCTTTAAATTTGATTCAGGGTTACAAGAAAGACAAATTATAGTCAGCATTACAGTGTAAAACATGCTAACGCTAAGTTAGCAGAGCTACTTGAGGTTTAACTTAATATACTTACCGGTTCTCTCTTTAGTCCGTCCTTGAGGAAATTGGACAAATTCCATGTCGTAGGGAAGTAAACAAAGTCAACCGACTTCATAAAATTCAGCAAATAAATCATTAAATATTCTGTTAGCTCTCGAACGAAAGTTACGCTTAAAAAGTGTTTTGCACATTTAGAATTGAAAATAAATCAAACAGTATCTTATGTTACTATAGTGTGCTTGCCTCTTTATTCTACTGTATTACTCTACTGTATTTAGGCCTTATATCTGCACTGTCACTTTGCTGTTATTTCACCGCTGTGGGTTGATTAAAGGATTTTTTTATTCTGATCTTAATCTTCTAATACTTGTTTAGCTTGAACCCTTAATTATCAGATAGTCCTAATGTGATGCTTAACAGTAGGCCTTCCATTCACCTTTTTTGTATTAGTAGCTGGTTAAATCACCACATTGCACATTTACCCTCT